AAAAGATATGGGTCAATTAAGAAAGCTAGTGAAAATAAAAATGGATTTTAATTCTCTATCCTTAGATCTGAATTTTCTAAATGAAGGGTTCAGATTTGGTTATTGATAGGTGCATAACCCATGGTTATGCACACTAACTTGAGCCCTCATAAAGAGCAAAGGAAGAAACACCTTGAATTAAAAGAATCCTGATATCGTCCTCAACCCCTTGAAAATGCCGAAAGCAGAAGGGAAAGCTAAATCCTGAAAGCAACTGGGTCTGGATTTGCACGTGTTGACTTGTACCCTTACCAGTTACCACATGAATTATTCATTACATGTTTAAACGATATTATTTTCGATGAAAAAACATTAATTGGACACAAAATATATCTGAATTCTAATTATATAAACCCCAAAAAATAATACAGTAAAAAAATAATTGACCATAAAGTCACAGGCTTGCTTTGCTTGTTCCGACTGGGTGAGAGCTGACCAAGATGAATTGTGCTGTCTCATCCTCTTTGTCTATACATTGGCCTCCCGTCGACACCTGAAAAACGTCGCCGTCAATCTACAACCACCCAAGCTTGAACGTCTGTGTCTGGTTCACCTCTTGTAACAACCTGCCAAACAGTACATTCAAATATCCGAAATTGACTGGCGAATTGTCGGTCAACGGACATGTCGGTTTCCGGCGTCAAAAGGTAAATTTATTATGCAGAAAATTTCCCAGTGTTTCCACTTTCCTCTACCCAAAAAAAATACAAAAGACCAATCCTCGTCATTTACCAGAAAGGCATTGAGCCATGATATTTGAACTAAATTTCTATGGAGGTTTCTACATACAACAATGTGCTTCCTATATAGTGTTAGGCACGAGGTAAAGTCCCCAATTCGATTTGATATGGGTAACACCCTCCTGCACTTGATGAAAGAAAGAAGCCAGAAAGATGGACCTTTGATTCCGCAACTATAACCCCCAACTTCAATCCATTGATTGACTGGTTCCCTCGCATGGGTTACATGAAGAATCTAAGGACCCTGCATTCAAAACGATAAACTACACATCAACTCTAATGAAGCAACCACGCCGAAAAATGCATTAACCAAAACGAAGCGAGTATCCCCTTCCTAGATATATAGAGCATTGGCTAATGCAATGGTGTTATATCTGGAGAGCACTACCTGATGAGGTAATATACAGCTATAAACGAAAGGACAAAGGTCCCAGCAAGCGCACATGTTCGTCGACTGGATTTCTTCTCAAATACCTGCCTAGCAAGAAACATCATAGGACCAGGTCATCAAGAAGCAGTTCCAAAGTAGATAGAGATAACACTAGAGGGGAAGCATCAGGTGGATCGAGTTTGCATACCGCTTTGAATCGATCCATGGTTCCAGATATTACTCCCCTTGAAACGTCCATGCCATTGCCCTGATTTAAACATGGCATAGCAGATTTGGGGGAAGAGAAGAAAAGTGAAGTTCTTTTGGCCAATGCATAAAGTCGATTAAGACTAGAGATTGGTAGGAACCACATACCATTCGATCTAGCAGACGGTTGTGACTCTCTACTTCCTCATGTATATCACCAGTTATCTGCACACAAAACACCCCACAAGCACCTCTGAAAGGTTAACCGAAGGATTCAAAATTTCCTAATCTTCAGAGATTTCTCTTCCACAAGGCAACTAATTTATTTTCAAGTATGACACATCCAACATTTTATTTAAATTTGAAATAAGCTGAAGGCTGGGGCATCTCTCTTACCAGAGAGCATTTACAGACACAGCAGAAGTTGTAACCACATTACTAAATCTAAGAGCTGAGTTTTGAACTGCTGATTCATAGACCCAAACGAACAAAAGTTTCAGAGATAACATAGTATAAGCTAAATCTAGTAGGTATTGACTAGTGAGTTTTTATAAGTTCACTCCATTCACACAGACACAAAGACACTCCCCTTAACTGTTCCCTGATCCATACACAGCTCAGTCTATACATCAGAGAATTGATCCATAAATCTTCCCCACCGAAGCATTACAAACCTTCAATTCCCGCTTATTTAGAGCTCCGCAATTGAGCAGAACAAGCGTAGATTACTAACAAATGAAAGGTTTTCATAATGCCACTAAGATACAGCTGAACAAACCACATAGGGAATAGGAAAGATCTATCTTCCACAAACCCAGGTGGCCAAATCTATTAAGGCACATTTGCAGTAGGAGCTATCACATTGCACATGCTGTTTTGCACCCTTGAGAGTTGAGTGTGAGTAATATCAAAGTTAACCTAAAATCCATCACAAACTCACAATGAACACTAACGAAGTTTGCACACTGAAGTTTGCTACCACATTCTAAACCACAATTCTCAAATGCAATGGATAAAGGAAGCGAGTTCTTACTCTCTTGAGGAAACTAACTCTGTCTTGCAGAGTCTCCACAGCTCTATCGTTGTCGTGCTCCTTGATCTCCGAAGAAAACGAAGCGGAAGCCTTCAACCCACCTTCTTCCAGGCCATCATCGAAGAGAGCTGATCTCGAAGAACGAATCTCCCTGCTGCGGTTCTGAAAACTGAAACCAGAAAAAATTGATCAATCGAAAATCAGATCTAGAGCAACACGACTCGCAAATGCCAGAAATATTCTGCACGCCATTTCAATGGATCGGATATGAACAAACCTCCGGTAACTCATGATCCCCCGACTCAGGCTTGGCCGCCGCCGCGCGTTCCGCCACTAGGAGTAAGAAAGCGTGGGAAAGAGAATGAAATCAAATGTTAGTTTGGCACACCACCGACATGGAGGATTTCGCTTCGATTTGTTTGTTTCTTTCCTCCTTCCCTCCTTTGATTCTCCCCATTTTCTTGGGGTTCTACTTTCTAAGCTTCAGGTACGTGAGGAGATGAAGATTGGGCTGGGTCTGGTAACGTGATGGGCCTATGGTAGCTGGGCCGATGAAATATTAACCTAAGAGGATTGCTAATTGTCGCCCTAAATTTTTTTAATCGCCCTAACTTAAAATTCAATATTACCTTTTTATCCTTTTATCTTCGTTAATCTCTATTGTTATTTTTTTATTATTTTAACAAATACAACCACCCAACGACAAAATGCTAAGTTCATCTGCTACCGGCCTCTCGCCATTTGCTGCTGTCATTATCCGCCAGTCCGCCACCGCTACCCCCCTCCGTCGGCCGTAAAAAGAAGAAAATGTAACCAGTGCTCAGAAATGCAAATCAGTTTAAAGATAAATGATTTCTCAAGCTAATCCAACCAATTAGATTAGTGTTGTTTGTTCCATAATCCCATTGGAGGTTCCGACCTGGGAAGCTGTTTGAAGCTTGGGGAACCGCTTCTCCTTTCCAATTTTGAGAAGGAAACCTTGTGTTCTTGGGAATTACTGGATCCCCAATCCAACTCCCACACGTTATTAGTAACTGTCTCAAGCTCCGCTACGTTTCCCCTCTCCCTTAAATCGGATCGACTAGAGTTCCGTTGAGGAAAATAGGTAAAATAGAGACCATAGCTAATGAGCAATTTCAGATTATCGAACTCGTTTAGAGAAGTGATCCGCGACGGAGGTTGTTTGGGTTGCAGGGTCATTTGTTTAGAGAAGGGTAATTTAGTAATTGTTTGTTTTAAATTAGGGCGATAATAGTAAAATTAGGGCGACGTTTAGCCATTCAGTAGAATTATCCATTTCCTAACATTTGGTATAAATGAATTCCATAAGTTTTGAGAAATACATTTTGAAATGAAATATTTTTGTATTTGGCATTAAAAAGAATTCATTTTCAATTCTAAATTTTGAATTCTACAGAATTGGAACTAGTTATAGCAATTCCGAGGAATTGAGATATAATTTCCAAATGAATTCCACAAGTATTTAATAATTATAATAGAATGACCTGATTATCCTCTTTTATTAACTAAATTACTTATACATATGACATACCAAACATAGAAGTTCATTTGACAATGAATTCTACACGACACTTCAATGATTTGAATATAACATAACAAACATAAGATTTCATTTGACAATGAATTCTGCACGGTAATTCATTTTACAATGAAATGAATTCTCGATTCATTTGGTACCAAACTTTCTGTTAATGTCTACAATAAGGTTGTCAACCCGAGGGTCGACCCACTTTGACCTTGACCCGTTGACAAAAACGGGCCGCACGCACCGGTCGGGTCCACAGCTACAAGGTATCGAGTTGGAGGTCAAATTGTGTCATTTTTTTTTTCTTTGCGAAATGCGCCTATTTTCCGATTTTTTATTTTCGCAAAACTCAATCTTTGGAATCCTTAGTTGAACATTTGAATATTGATTTTATATAAGTGTGTCTGAATTTTCACTATATGTTGGATCTAAGTACGAAATGTTATTTTGGTGTGCTATTATAGTTATAACTCATATGTTAGATAAGATTTGATATAATTTATGAGGATAAGTACGATATAATGACTCTTTTCGTATTTCTGGGCCAAATCGGGCTAAAACGGTTGACCCATTAACCCTTGACCCACTAGCTTGATAGGGTCCGGGTCACCCGCGGGTTGACAACTCGTAATCTTCCATACGAATTGGACCTAAGCCGAAGAATGCTAGCATTTAGGACTTAGGATTAGGAAAGTCGATAGTTTGTGGGAAGAAACACCCTTTAAATAGATCTGTTCGTGCCCGGTAACTATGCGCCCCGTGACTTCGCGCGCAATCCTCCGGTTTTTCTCCCCCTGCACGCAACACAACTAACTTGAGCCCAAGGCTGGGCTCGTTAGCACTCCAACGCCCAAGTCAGTCTCAATTTCTAGAGAGAGAAGTGAATAGTAATTCTAGAGAGAAGTTCTAACCTGAGTAAATGAGGTTCACCAACCCTCATATTTATACCTCGGGCCTGGCCGACCAACATCCCCGTCTCTCGCCTGTTGCCAGACCCGCATTAAATGCGCCGTACGACCAGGTCCCATGCCCCTCGACCACCTGACCCCGCACTCAGACGATTGAGGCGCATGACGTCAGATGGTCCCCCTTCCGTACCTTCTTACCCGTTGCGACCCTTTGTCATATGCGCCCCGTGTCAGAGTCTGGGCCCCACTTGGCCTGGTGCTCCTCTTTAATGAGTGGGTCGACTCCACTGCTGCCCCTTTGGGCCTAACGGGCTGGGCTCCCTTGCTTAGCCTAGCCGATCCAACTTCTCTCTCGGGCCTTGTAAGCCCGACCCTCTTGGGCCGCGGCTATGCCCCCAACAATTGCCCCCCCAGTTAGGCGCCTATAGCTTCTTCGTAGGCGCCTGACTGGACATCTCGGGTAAAGCGCCTCATTCATCCCCCATGCGCCTTGCCCCCGGCCCGAACTATTCCCCACCTATTGCTCCTGTACGGCCCGTTTCTTGCCCTGTCTCCGTCCTTTCGGCTTCCCTTTCCCTTACCGCTATTATGGGGTTCTTGGGACTCCCCCTTATTCCGAGACTTTTGGACTTCCCCACCATTTGCTCATGAGACCTTTGGTATTCCCCCACTCTGTGGGACTTTTGGGCTTCCCCTATTACTCCCCCCTAGTCCGTTTTGAAATTTGAATTTCGAATTTCGAACTTCGAAACGGACTAGCACCCTCTCTTGCCGCCTCCATCCCCCTATATATTTCCTCCTCCCCTTGCATGTCACTCTCATTCGCCCCCTTTGCTCTGACTTCTCTCCTTTTCGCTCTGACCTCTCTCTTCTTTCTCTCACTAAGCCCGATCGGCCTCCCTCCTGCGCCTGGCGCTGCCTTCGCCGTCCTCCCCCTGCGCTCCCTCCATGTCGACTTCTCAGCAAGCTGGTTCCGATACTCCTCCTTCTTCTTCAAGCGCTGCGCCTCGCGGTAAGACTCTCCCTCTCCCTCTTTTTTTTTTAGTTTTAGTTTCGCGCCTCCGATATCCCCCTTGCGTCCTCCGCTCGTTCCGTACGCTTCGCTTATGATGCGCCTCGCGCGTCTTGTGCCTTCTCCGAATTTCCTGACCAATCTTTGCCCCTTGTCCCAGGCCCTGACGCATCGCAAAGCTATGCGTTTCGTTCGTGGGAGTCGACTTGGGCCTCGGGGCAAGCGCCTGGCAACGTGGCTGGTCTACCCGTGGAGTCGGTGGGCCCGAAGCATCCCTCCAAATGCCTGCGCGTGCGCCTCGAAAAGCTGCTCGTGGCCACGCAAATGCCAGTGCCTTGGCAGTACTGTCATGCGCCCCGTTCTGCCCGGATAGGCGCGTGTGGTGACAGCGGCTGGACGGGGATTTACCAAGAGTACCTTCGGTTTGGTTTGCGCTTTCCTCTGGACCCTGTTCTCGAAGGGGTCCTCGAGGCGTGCCAATGTCCGCTCGGGCGCCTCTCCCCTGCTGTTATACTGTATTCAATTCTCTTCCGCCACAAGTGCCAACAGCTAGGCATCACGCCCACCTTCAAACTCTTCAACCATTTTTTTTCTATGTCGAGGAGTACCAACTGCCTCATCCTCCATAAGCGCAAAAAATTAGGGTACAGCTTCATCCGCGGTTGCCAAAAGATGGGGCGCACGTGGTTTGACTCATATTTCTACGTTCGTCCTCAAGAGATCCCCTTTTGTGCCAGCGGGCGCCCCGCCATGATGGAGTGGTCCCTAGGAACACCCGATTACTTTAATAAGCCCGCGTCTTTAGGCAAGTCGGAGTTAGCCAGCGCCAAGCGCCTCGCCGAGGAGCCCTTCGATCTTAACGACGATGATGCTTATGTGCAACTCCTGGTTGATTTTTATCAAGATGGTATTTCGGCTCGAGCGCCTCGTTTCTCCGTTCTGACATGCGCTCTTACTCTGTTCGCTGATGCTCGCTTTTTATTACTCTTTTGCAGGGACCGACTTTACTTCGGTAACGTCCATCATCTGATCTCGGCTGGGGATCGGTCAGGACCCCGGGAGTCCTTCCCCTGCGACTGGCGCCTCCGGACCATCTGCCTCCGAGCCTCCGAGGCGCACGATCCGGATCAAGGCCAAGGCGAATGCGGTTCCTTCCGCCTCTATTTCGGGCGCCTCGGGTGGGGCGTCTCCCCATCAGAGTTCTGGCACGGGCGCAGGCAGCCCATCCGCCTCTGCTGGTGCTTCCGCGCGGGAGCGTACACGCTCTCCCACGACCCCCGCTTCCGGATCCGCTCCTCATGCAACGGTGGAGGAGGGTGCGCCTTCATCGCAGTCGCCCTCTTCCCGAAAGAGATCCGGGGGCGCCCAAGACCGCCCTGCCAAGCGGGCGAAGGCGCCTCAGGCTGGTGCCGCCGGGTTGCCACCCAGCTTCGTGGCGCCCACGATCGGTCCTCATACGGGCGAGGAGATTCCCCCTATCTCCAACCTCCAAGGCGCCCGCTTACCAAGGTTGCTGTGGGTGTGCCTGTGAAGGCGGCCAAGGAGTTTGGCGCCTCCATCCAGTGGGCACGCTCCCAGTACGACGTGGTGGAGCATCCGGCGGGCCTGATCTCCAGCAAGCCTTGGCGTACGATGACCAACATCACCGCGCAAGTAAGTTTCAAACTTACCTCGACTGCTCTTGTCTTCGCCTTTTTACTTTGTTGTTCCATTTTCTCTAACTCTTTCCATGCGCCTCAGATGATGCTCCTTTGCGAGGCCACTACTCGCGAGGTTGAGAAGATCAAGCGCGAAGGCGCAGCGGCTGCCGTGGCTGCTACGCGCCTCTAGTCTGAGTTGGACGCTGCTGACAAGAAGGCTTCTGATGCTGCTGCACAGCTCGAGGAGAAGCTAGAGGCGGAACGCGCGAAGGTGCGGCTGGAGGAGCAGGCAAGGCACAAGGCGGTGGAGGAGGCGTGACCTGGACGACTACAAGAACACCACTGCCGGGAAGAACCTTCAGGCGGATACTGTCATTAGCACAGTGGAGATTGCCCAGCAGAAGCTTAACGCCGACCATCCAGACTGGGTCTTCGACGCCATGGACTTGATGGGCCATATAATTGGCGTGATGGAGCAGGCAACCCCGGAGGGTGGGGATGGGCAAGCGCAGGGCGCGGAGAGTGAGGCGCAGGGGGAAGATGGGGCGCGGACTACTTAAAGCGCAGAGGACTCGGGAGCGCATGGAGCTGATGACGGTCAGGGCGCAGATGGCCAGGGCGCCGGTGAGAGGGTCGATCTTAGCGGCAGCGATGCGTCGGACGCCGGTGATGATGGTGAGGAAGACAGTGGTGGGGAGGTTGACGTCGAGGGTTGATGTTAGAACCTTTGTGGGGTGTGTCCCCTTTCCAGCTTTTATGTTGTCATTTTTCAGTTTCCATCCTTTCCCGCCTTTGATGTTAGAACATTTGTTTAATTCGCGTTTGTTTTCTTTCTGCATTCCTCTTCTCGTCTACGCTTGTGATTTTTAGGGCGCAACATTGTTCAGGCGCTTTATTTAAAAGTTAAAACTCGGAATTTTTATGATCGTAAAAGGAGGGCGCAAAGGGCGCGAGGAACCGAGCGCTTTACTTAGGGGCGCAATGTTTCGGGCGCTTTACGGAGTGATGGACTTTAATGCGAGATAACGATTTTTACACAAGTTCGACCTTATGAGGGCGCTTTACAAAACCAAAAACTCACGCAAGCAACTGACTACGTTCCCTTTAGATTACTCAAACAGGGCGCAAAAGACAGGGAGCTTTACCCATGGGGCGCGAGGAACCGGGCGCTTTACTTAGGGGCACAGAGTTTCGGGCGCTTTACGGAGCGATGGATTTCAATACGAGATAACAATTTTCACGCAAGTTCGAAGTTAGGAGGGCGCTAACTGATCAGGGCGCTTTACAAAACCAAAACTCACGTAAGCAACTGACTACATTCTCTTTAGATTACTCAGACGGGGGGCGAAAGACAGGGCGCTTTACAGTAATATAATACGGAAATAAAACCTTAGGTCACTTTAAACTCACTCGTTGAGGCGCATGGTATCCCACGCTTGCAGTAAGTATACCTCCTTCAGCCTAATGAGCGATCCTCATCAACTGGCCAAAATCAAGGCGTTCAGCCTCCTTGCCACATTGATCACTCTGAAACTTCGTCCCCCACCGTACCCTTGTACGCCCTTAAGTTCATGGCATTCCATGTTCGCTTTACAGTTTTCCCGCCCATGCGCTCGAGTTTGAAGGTAGCAGGCCCCACTACTTCCCTGACACGGTACGGTCCTTTCCACTTGGGCGCTAACTTGCCTTCACATGCTTTTGGGCGAAAATCGCGCCTCAGTACCAAGCTTCCCTTGCCGATCTGATGGGGGCACATCTTGCGATCGTAGTACCTGGCCACTTGTCGCTTCATTGCCTCCAATCGCACAGAAGCAACATCCCTGCGCCCTTCCAACATGTCGAGGTCATGGGTGCGCTCCTCGGCTTGCGCCTCGTAACCCACCATCCTGTACGTGGGGAAGCGCATTTCTACTGGAATGACCGCCTCACTACCGTATGTCAATGCAAATGGCGTCTCCCCCGTTGCCACCTTGTATGTCGTCCGATGCGCCCAAAGCACGCTCGGGAGTTCCTCTACCCACCTTCCTTTGGCGCCCAGCAATCTGGTGTGGAGGCCATGCAAGATGCTCTTGTTGGCCGCCTCCGCTTGCCCGTTAGCCTGGGGGTAAGCCACGGACGAGAATCGCAGGACCACCCCGCTTTCGTCGCAGAACTCAATGAACTTCTGGCAGTCGAACTGTTTGCCATGATCCGCTAAGATGGACTCCGGTAAACCGAACCGAGTAAAGATATTCCTGGTAGTGAACTTCCTGACTTGGGCCTGGGTGATGCTTGCCAACGGTTCCGCCTCGATCCACTTGGAGAAGTAATCCACTGCCACGATCAAGTATTTCACTTGCCCCGGCGCTTTGGGGAAGGGTCCCAGCAGGTCCATTCCCCACTGCGAGAACGGCCATGCGCCCACGTTGCCCTGCATGGGCACTTTGGGGATGTGGGTGTCGTTGGCATGGATCTGGCATTGATGGCAGCTATCGATGTGCGTCATCGCATCCATCCGGATGGTGGGCCAGTAGTATCCTTGTCGCAATAACACCTTCT